AAGTGCTGTTACAGTTCACTGCATGTTTAATTTTTCATGGATTATAAATTTATAACCATTGCTGTTTGTAGTGCAGGAAAGTCTAGAATCAGAAGGTCGATACTGTATTATTTTAAGGTCTAACCGACAAATGATTTCTTCTGTGGTATCTGCTAGAGAATAGAGTTCAAGGAGCCTGCAGAATTTTCTGAGGAGAAATAACCCTTGTTTTGTGCGTAGTCAATGCATTCATCCCAGCCCTGTATCCCGCCTCAGATCTAGGGCAAAAGCTCAAAGGTCCATTCTCCCAGCTATCAATGAAAAATACACCAGGCCCACACTGAGCAGGATTCAAACAGTGTGCAATACAAAATGAGACACTCATGATTCCAGAAGAATTATTAGCAACAATATTGTAGTATTGGGGTACTTGTGACCTCTTAATCTGATACTAATCCTGAGTCCTGCTCTGCACTAGCATTTTGGTCTACTCGTGTGGTAGCCTTGCTTTGAGACACGCAAACCTGCAGCTCTATTTCCACTTTCCTTGCTTTGCTCCTACCCCTTCTCTCAAAGCAAGGATGGTGATGCCTGTGCAGCCTCTCCGCTCTAGAAGTGGAACAAGCTGAAAACAGGCAGCTTGCCACATTGCCTTCCTCTGGTTGGGGACACACCACTATTTCCCACAGTGTTGTATGTGAAGTTTTGGGGGCCAAGGAGAGAAAAGSAAACATCTTGGAGCACCTAGCTATTCTACAAGAGCCCCCTCTTGCCATACCATAGAGGGAGAGGAGCGTGATTCCCGAGCGGAGCTTGCTGGCATGGAGGACCTTGCTGTAGGGAAGAAGTTGCAGAATAGAGAGACCTCTGCACCCAACGGGGTGACAGCCGTGACAGCCTCTGCACAAAACAAAGTCTACTGCAATAAGTTCTCACATCAGCCAGGCTCCCACAGTGTCCTACATGTCTTTAGCAACAACGAGGGAAAATGCGTTGCTTATTTTGCATTTTGGCAGAAGACAGCTGGATCTGCAAAATGTCACATGCTCATCTTCAGCTAAACTGATATATCACTTTTTCAGAAATGCACAAGACCAACAGATATCCTTACTAAGATTCTTCTATACACAGTAAAATGATGAYTGGCATTAAGCATTTGCACCTATACCCACATCTTCTTCAGCCACATGAGGCATTTTGAAGAGGTTTCTGGGTGGCATATGCTAAGTCCTTAAACAAGACTATCCACTACACTCTTGCTACAGCTAATCAAGACTGGCACAACAGGGATACCCACGGTAGCCACAGCAGTGCCACTGGACTTGCATTTGCTCTCCTGCACAGCGCCCTGCTCCTCCCACAGGGCAGCTGGCTTGTGCTTTGCTTTCAAAGACCTTCTGCTTTGGCAGACACACAGCACAGACAGACTGCATGGTCTCTGCTGCTGCTTGCTTGGTTGCTGTGATCTACCAGCAACATTTCACTGGATGAGGCCCAAACATGCTAAAAGCTGACTGCAAGAAGATGAGCACAGAGGAGACCAGTTCCTAGTTAGGTCCAGGAAGAACAAAATCTGCCTCCTTTTAAGATTGTTGCACTCTGCAGATTAACCAGTCGCACAGCTCAAATCAGCTGGGCTTTTTCAGTGCCAGTGTGCCATTAGAGCAATCAGTGTTCTCATAACTGTAGTATTGATTAACTTTAGCAGTAGGGACACGGAAAGTAGGGAAGGCATTTTAGAAGAGAAGTCTGTACTTTCTGTCTGTCTTCTCTTATTATTGCCTAATGATAGCATAGGTCAGCCTGACTTCTTCAGATGCACTGCAGAGGACGGCCTCGATGTGAACAGCTAATAGCTTTCTCTTTYAGAAAGAATGAATCTCTTTGTAGTCATCCAGAGCGTCTTTATTCCTATCAGTTCCAGGACTTCCTCTGCCTTCAGCCTTCTTCTGCATTTCTGTTTGTTTTCCCAACAGCCCTGATAATGCTGCATAGCGACTGTCCCTCTGACTTGTCAATATGCCTTATCCCCAAGACAGAGCAGTTCCATGTCTGCAATATGTTCTGTTCCGTAGATACAGATGGAAGGTTATGTTACAGAAACAGATACAACATGGTTACTGCACTGTGGAGTGAGTTTAAGGAATGGCAATTCCATTGGAGTAAGTTAACRCAGGGTTGGATCACAGACAAGATACACCCTCAAGCTTCCACGTGAACAAAGACTGTTTRAAAAAAGATCAATTTGCATAGGCTGAAATTTCAAGAAATTTATTCAAAGCATACCTTAGAATAATAAAAAAATACAAATGATTGTCCAAATAGTCTAGAAAATAAGGAGATCAGATGCTTAAAATTGTGTCTATTTCCAGCATCTCATTTATTTTGTGCATGTCACACACAACCAAATAAATGTACGTGTTGAACGCAGTTGCACTGCATACAGATGATTTCCTGTTTTGGCAATGGGCTACAGTTATGTTTGTCTCTCTGGGAGGAACTCTGTAGTCTTCTTTCAAGAACAGTTGTTTACATTGCTCTGATAAGCCCTGTTCCTGCTACTGTGCATGAATTCATCAGAACTACTCACCTGTACAGTCATGTGGTACAGCCTGAGCCTTATCAGCCCCTGGTAAATAAAAGGGAGATGAGTCAAGACAGAAGCCACACAGCACACTATTGTAAGAGCATGGGTCCCGCTGTGATAATGCAAAGGGTGCACACAAAGGTTATATATACACACCGCTCCATACGCAGCGGCTGTCTGAGACACAACTACCACCAGACTTACCTATGCCTCTGCACAACGGGACAAGAGCTTGTGACACACGCTGAAAGACAACAAAAAGACAAGTTTTCACCTGAGCGCTGACAGGCTAAGCTGAGTCTTTCCAAGGAAGCTATACTTTGAAAACTGCACGCTTCTACTGGCTGGGATTGCTTTATTCACAAGTAGAGTAATGTATCTTAGCAACTGTAGCAAGGGGGAAGACTTACTGTACTGTAAAAGAATTAAAACAAAATGTATATAGCTGCTCACTGTTATAAATACATCCCTACCACTATGAGGGAGTGATCAGTTATATTCCTGATTACTTTCCACATTCCCTTTGTCAATGGGGCCGGGGCACGTCTTGAGTTTTCAACTCACCCTTGGAGAAACTAAATCCTTCACCTTCCCCTGTGACTGGACAGGCCTTACAGCACAACCTGTGATCTTCTGCTTACAGTAGAGCAAGCCAGCATCCCAGCAGCATCCCAGAGATAAATCTGCTCCAAAAGTGCTCAGCTGCCTTCACAAGAGAGCAGAGTTTCCAGAGTCTAGCTCTAGAGCAGCTGAGACTGCCCTAAGCAGGCCMGGACTGAGACATTTCACTTTCTTACTTGCCAGGCAGGTTAAAAGCTTCCTGTGGCCAAGGGACTTTTTGCAGGTTACACTTTGCTAAGGGGTAGCAGTTTCTCACATATAAAACACTATTTTCCATGCAGACTTCATCTGTGCTCCCTCAAGTCCCCCGTCAAGACAATTCTGTTGCCACCCACAGCGCAGTAGGGTTAAGAGCCCTCCAGTCCGTTTCTGTCTCTGAAGAGCTCTGCAGGCAGCAGGGGAAAAGGCAGGGCCCACATCCACTTTGTGCTGTGGATGCACAGGAGAGCACTGAACCGCAGCAGAGGCTCTGTAAGCGATCTAAGGGAGAAGTRACAAAGAGAGGGAAAGGCCTCCAGAACCTGAGTCACTGCACAGAGGTGACTGAAAAAGAAAGTGAAAACTCCTTTTTCCTTTCAGCAGGGGCAGGGAAGCTCCGATTTCTCTTTCACAGAAGGCAGGTTCACCCGAGTACCTTCCAGCAAATAGTTTGCTGCTCTCCTCTTAGGGATACTTYATTTAAATGCATGCAAGACATTCGGAAATGTTTAAGAGGTGTCACACTGGGGAAAAGAGGGAAGCCTTGCTGTTCTCTATGGCAAGGGAGAGCTCCCCTTCCCAGCCTGCGCAACTTGGAGCAGTTTTCCACATGAAAGCAGAACAGGTGGTTGCCTAGGACAACAAATTGGCCAGGAGATCCGGAGAGCACGCGTGATTTAGGGCCGGGCATTTTTCGCTTTACGCAATATAGGGGATGGGGGGGAACAAGGGAGAAAGGCTCAAACAACCCCAAAACGACTCTGCTTGGACTTGTCCAGGATTATCTCCCAAGGAGTTTAAGCGTCTATCCAACTGTCTCTCTAGCACTGTCATTACTCCCGAAGTGTGCACACCAACTCAGCCCTTAGCATTCCTGGCGTTAGAAGCCTCCCAGGATTACTGCCACTCATTTCGCACGGGATGCAGGTGTCCAAACGCTTCCCAACACACGGATGCCCCTGGCGCCTCGCYGCTCGCCGGTGAAACGCGCTTCCCGTTACCGCCTGCCCTGCGCTCGCTCCCCGCCACAGACACCGCCGCCGAGAGCCCCACGGGGCCACGCCGTCCTGGGACACGCGTGACACAGCGCGGCCGGGACGGGGGCTGCGGCTCCCGCGCCCTCCTCCTCCTCCTCCTCCTGTTCCTGCTCCTCCTCCCGGCGCTGCTGGGGCCAGCGCGGGACGCGGGGGGGTCCCGGGGCAGCCTCCCGGGGGTGCCGGGGTTCCCCGAGGGGTCGAGCCCCGCTCGGGTGGCGGGACACGGGGAGCTGCCGCTGCCTCCCGCGCCGCCCGCTCCCCTTGGAGGCTCCGGGAAACTTTGCCGCCGCGCCGGGCCGGGCCGGGCCGGGCCGGGCCGGGCTTTCCCCGCGAGGGGCGGGCAAGGGGAGGTGGCCACGGGCAGAGCAGCAACTTTGGCGCTCGGCCCGCCCGGCGCGGAGCGGCGCGAGGAGGAGCTCGCCTTGGAGGTGGGGGGAGATGGAGCCGGGGCGTGGGGAAGCCGCTCCCGCCTCCTTCCTCCTCCTCCTCCTCCTCGCCGGCTGCTCCAGTCCCGCAGCCCGACGGCCGCTGCCTCCCGCGCGAGCCGCGGCAGTCGGGAGCGCCTCGCAGCCGCCGGCATGGGCGCCCCGCGGGCCGCTCCCGGCTTCCTGCTCCCGCTGCTCCCGCTGCTGCTCCCGCTGCTGCTGGCGGGCGCCGCGGGGCCCGGCCGCGCGCCCTTCTCGCTGCCCCTGCGCGTGTCGCCGCCCGCCGCCCGCGACATCCTTCAGCGCGCGCTGCCCGCCTGGCGCGGCCCCGCGGCGAGCGCCGGCGCCGGGGCGCTCATGGCCGGAAAGCCGGCGAGCGGCGGCCGGCGGGAGCCCCCCGGCGAGGCGGGCGGCTTGGCCTTGGCCTCCGAGCCYGCGGCCGCCCTCAACTTTCTCGCCATGGTGGAGAACCTGCAGGGCGACGCCGGGCGCGGCTACTACCTGGAGATGCTCATCGGCACCCCGCCGCAGGCGGTACGGGGGGACCCCTAGGGGGTACGAGGGCACCGTGGCGGCAGGGGCGCGCGGACCGATAGTGGGGACCCTTCGTGGGGGTTGCGGGGTGCCCCAGGCTCCCCTGAGCCCCGCCGGAGGCAGCTCTGCGCGGGGCGCCCCGGGCGAGCTGCGGGCTCCGCGCCAGGAGTCGTGTTTTGGGAGGCTTTTAAAATTTGTTCATGTTTTTAGGCTGCTTTGTGTTGCGATGGGGTGGTTCGGTAGTTACTCCCAGTGGCCCCGTAAGAAATCACTCAAAACACCCGTGCCCAGCTAAGCGGTTGCTCGCAGGGGCAGTTGCCTCTTCCGAGGGGACCCCCCGTTAACAACACGGAGCTTTTTGCGCGTCTCGAGCGCCGCTTGCGCTCGCCGTTTGCCTTCAGCAACGCTCGGGAAGTTTTGTGCTGTGGCCGCTCTTTCATGAGTGTCATGAGATGCCACGGGAAGCGCTGCGGGTGGGGATGACTAGTCAGCTGAGCGGGGATTAGTTTCCTGAGAGCCCTTGGGGCTCTGCCTCTGGGCGGCTCTTGGATTCCTGGAGTTCGGGTCCTCGTGGTGTGCTCGGAGCGTGCGAAATCCTTCTTCTTCAGCTCTGCGCAATAAAAAGCTAATGTATTCTTTAATGTCTGAGACTGTTCAGCTGCTAAAGGATTGGACTTCTGTGATTTTTGTCTCCCCCCCCCCCACCACCACCTATACAAGAGGAGGATCGGTGGTATTGTCACTCTAATTGAAGTGTGCGACAGTAGGATCAATACAYGTATTTTTAAAAGGTTGCATTGGTTTGTGATCGATAAATATAGTTAGGAAGGCTGACCAGGTCTGAGAGATCAAGGTGTTGCCCTGTAGCCACAGAGTGAAACAGAGTGAAACACTTTTTCCTCTGTGCCATTCCCTGCGTGTTTGCCTAGTGCTATTAGGATGGCAATGTGTGTTCTTCATTACTGCAGGGAACATTCAATATTGGCTCCAGCTGGAATCAAGATAGCAGATTTGATTGGGCTAATAATCCAGTTCAGTATGTCTTAAATTAAAAAATAATTTTAGGTAGAAAAAAAGTAAATAGAAAACTTTTCATCTCCCGTGTGTTTTGGGGGATTCTCAAATACAAAGAAATGGGAAAGGAAAATTGGGATAGGCGTTCAAAAATGCAACTAGAGGTCTAACAGGAGAAATGTGCTGCTCTCAGTGCACTTTGAGACTTCACTTACACTTAATAGTATCTCTTGTACTACAAGTGATGTAAAGTTTCAGATGAATTTGATTTAATTTTTTTTTCCATCTGAAAAGAAAAAGAACTCTGAATCTGGTCGCAAAGTTTGCATTATTTTGAACTAGTTCTGAGCTTTTTTTCAGAGCTAATTACTTAAAAGATGACGACTACTGGTGTTTAGCACATGCAAAGCTCTGTTCACATGAGCAGACCCACCAAGACTGTAAGTGAAGTCATAAATGTGTTTGTGCTTCTGAATTAAAATTTCAGTGTGTAGTGACTCAGTACAGTTAAAATTTGGTTTCTGCTTTTGAGAGAGGAATTTGTATCTTTCTCCCTGCCTGAACCTGGAAGACTTAAAGATCACCAACRTACCTGTTGTTTCTCTGCTTCACAGTGAGCAGCACAAAGTTGCTGTGCCACTGCYGGCTGCTTCTGCTTGAGTCCCACGGATACTTAGAGTGGGTATCTTGGTATTGCCAAGCGTAGGGATCATCTAAACTCTTTGGGAAGTGGCCACGAGAGTCGGTTGTGTTCGGGTAAAGGAGATGTCTCTCCTTAATTTGCTCCCCTCAACTTTGCCCCATGTTAGAAGGTTCTGTGTGACGGGATGCCCAGACATCCTTCTTTACTCCTGTATCTTTGTGTGTGGGACTCCTCTGGCCTAACTCTTCCTCACTCAGCCCTTTCCTGGGACTGCCGACCCTACAATTCCACACTGACATTTGGCTAGAGATGCAGAATAATATTGCCAGCAAGAAGAGCAACAGCGTGGCTCCCTTCCGCACTGCTGGAGCAGGAGGCAGGCACTGCAGTTGGTGCTGGATACAACATCTTGGGGAAGCAAAGGTGTAAGCAGGAACAAGGCAGCGAGGGGCACAGGCCACGTAGCTGCTCATGGGAAGAGGTACAAAATCAGTCACAATTACACCATGTTGGCGCCTGATAAGTTTGGAAGTGCATACATTTAGTTGTGTGCCTGCTACCATTGCCTGCTAGCCACTAGTCAYGGTAGTAGCTTGTGGCTTGGATACTGCTCCAAGTTGCTGGTGTAGGATTTTTTGGAGACTTTGTTGCCGTGAGGGAATACAGTGAAAGAAATGTACTCTAGCCCAGCAATGGTCTGTGCCCCAGCGCCTGCTGGTTTTCCTTTTTTTTATTATTTTTTTACTGGGCCCTCAGGCCTTTTAAGCCAGTGTCCCTCTAGAGCCCAGGCACTCAAGCAGCCACTGAGYTCTTGCCAGTGCTGGGAATGTTTTGTTTCACAGAATATTGTTGGACTTGTGTCACTGCTCAATTATATTTTTAGATTTTTTTTTTTTCATTTCTATTCTTGGGAGGAAACTACTACAGAAGAATTTGGCTTTTCAAGGCCTTTAAAGGATTTTTTTGTTTGTTTTTTAATACAATTTGGCTTCCGTTTGCGTTCTGATTTGTCACATAGCAGATGAGCACAGTACAGAAACGATTTTCACAATGACAGTTCTGAAATACGTGTTCCGACAATACAAAACTAGAACAGTTCTGCGAAGTCAGGTTTTTCTTTCCAAGAAATGAAGTTTCAATGTAGCCAGACCAGTTCTGCAACATGGTTCTACCAAAATATTTCTGAGCATTTCCAGTTTTATAATATAGGATCCCAATCACGCTGGGTTTCTAGATTAGCCACTMTATCAGTGTCAACCCTCATTGCTCCCATTAGTGCGAGAGCAGACCTGAGCTTGTGCTTAAGAACTATGTGAAAGGTGAAAAAGAAGAAAGAAAGTCCTATTATATTGGAGGGTGGGATATATTTGTCTCTTATTTCATGGCTGCATTATGTGCCCTACTTGTGATGGATTATGTGGTTTTATACCTGTCTATAAGGGCGCTCATTTTCCAATTCAGAGATTTAAATATGAGGTGTCAAGAGCCCAATATGAACTGTGTGCACTGTTCTTACTTATTTCTTTAAATAATCTGATSAAATTCCTTTGCTCTATCTTTTATTATTTTGCCTGCCTTGAGATTGAGGTTATAAGCATTGTGATGAATTGAGTGAAAGATCATTTGAGGGGGAAAGGAGAGGAGGACCCAGCTTTCAGGGCACCCTTGTTCAAAACCTTCTCTGACAAACATCTGACCAACAAAGCAATGCATCGCCCAAAGCCTCCCATGTTCTTCCCAGCTTTCTTAAAGCCCATCGGGACTTCATTAAGGGGTTGCAAAGAAAGTGCCATTGTTTCATCTCACCTGTTCGGTTCATCTCTGTTGTGTGATGTTGGGGAAGTCCTGCCAGTCCTGCTGCATTTTCAATTTATGCTTTTATTGAGATCAAGTAAATACTATTCTTGCAGCTTCGTTGCAGAGTAGGCTGAGCTTGTACCTCTGGAGAACCCCCAAATSATATAGCAATGGTTTGATTAGTGGTTACTGAAACCATAATAGCATCTGACTTAAGCTCTGAAGATCACGAGTCCTCTTTAAAGTTTGAGTTTCAATTTTTCATTTCATGTACAAAGGAGTTTATTGTTTCGTTTTTTTTTTTCTAAGGACAGTTTGTTTTGCACAGAAGGTGAATGAGAAAGCAGTCCTGCAAACTTGCAGGGAAGTTTTAAGGTTAAAGTAAGTGTTGGGTTTAATGGCCTTCATTGCAAAACATGTAATTTCCATGTGATTAGTGGGAGGGTTGGCATTCCTTCATATCCCTCCAGCCACTGCAAATAAATAAATAAATAAATAAGATACATTAAACCCCTCGAGTGCACCACAGACTCCTCTAAGTTATGGCTTGGCAGTTTGAAGGTGATAAGCACATACATTAGCAACTTCTAAATGTGAGGCCTCATTTTTTTAATTGGTTATAGCTAGTTCTCTGTCTCGTGAGATGTGGAAGAAATAAAGATCGTGAGGAAAGATTCAACTACTCTTGAAATTTCATCACCTCACCTTGTGAGTCTTGCTGTGTTAGGTGATAGGAGCCTRATTTCTGGAGCCCTGTTGCTCCTGAGAAGCTAAGCTCTGCTTTCCTAAACCTGTTGAAAGGGAGTTAACTGCCTTTCTAGATACAAGGGGAACTTTTGGAAATCTGATCCTCCAAGTTTAAATGCCAGAAGGTGATTTTTAAAAAAATGTTTATGTGGGTCTTTTGCTTGCTTTTTGAGCTTTTTTAATGAAAGTGAGAAGCAAGAAGGCTTGAGGAGCAAACACAAGTCCTATGGCCTAACTCAAAATATCTTAGAGTATTTTGTGGTGGCAGGTATGTAGCACCCAGATCCCTCTGGTGAAACAACAATTAAAATACTGCTGCTGCTGCTAAATGATTCTTTTGGTGGATGTTTTGTCGTTGTTAGGTCCTGAAGGCAGAGAGAGAAGAACCTGAAAGTTAGACAGCTAATTTTGTGATGTAATGGTGTGGTATAATCTATTTTTGTCCAAAGACAAACCAAACAAATATCCCAGGTTTTGGTTGACAGAGGTGTACCTACCTTTATGCATTAGCACCCTGGCACMTCCTTCCATACAAAAGCAGCCCTTGCAAAAGCAGGCTGCATGGAGGTGGTGGAGCYTGCACTATAAAAATAACCAAACTACAAGCATTAATTACAGCACACTTGCCCTGATTAGACTGGAGCACAGTTCATGTTTTGTACCAAGGCTTTGCCTCAGCGTATTTATAAGTGGGCTTAATAACCTGCTATGTCTGCGTGCAGGGAGGCACTGAATGGGAGAGGCTCCCTGTGGTCAGTCCTTGGGATATGCCCCTCTCACGGCCCAAATAGGTTGGATC